ATTGGTTGTACTACATATATATTCTCATGATCAATGACTATAATGTTATATATGCTTTCAAGAACAGTGAATCTGCTATTTAAAATATTAAAACTTCACTTGTTCTCTTCGAGAAATAATCCATTTTCAGACATGAAAATCATAGCTACAAATAACTTTAGATTCACACAATAATAGCATACACATGTAACTAAACATGCTTTACTGACCAATCGCAAAGTCTATTTCACCTGTATTTTCCTTCCATCTCCTGCCGTCTCACCCAAATGYGTGAAACAAACAAGAACTCCAAGTAAAATCAAGCTCGTGTTGTGTTTTTAGGATCAAAGCTAAAATACAGACTGAATGTCTGGGAAAGCCACTACCACATACATAATGAATGAGATCAGGCTCATACTAATTAAGAGAACAGATGAAAATTTGCAAACCTTTTCTAGCRACTTGTAATATTTGTACAATTTAGTGTTTCATCTTATTCAGACATGTGCATTGAAAAGATTTTAACATGACAATAACAACACAATATTTTCTGATTATTTCACTCTAGCCAGCCAGGTATTTTTACCATTATAAATCTAAATTGAAAAGTTATGGACATATCATTAATTTTGACATGAAGACTATACTGATTTTCAAAGGGAAAATCAATGCTCTTGAATATGCTCTCTAAAACATGATATTAATAGAAAAATGTGGGCGGCTTGGGTTCAAYTTATTACTCTATAGAACAAAAATAGACAGTTATCTAGATAAATCATTATGACGAAGAACTATGAAAGATAGATCATTTTTAGAGTGGTCATTTTTTAGAAATCCTAGAATTCRTATTCATTGTGAAATACATCAAATTTGAATCCAAAAAAAACAATGCATCTTTAAAATGATTACAATTAGTGACATTCCAAGGTGTAAGCTTAAAACCTTGAAAGATAAGATATAATTATAGGAGTTTAATCACTTTTATGGTTTTAGTACATGTATATTTTGGTTGTCGCAAATATCAAAAATTCCAAAGAATATTCATGGAACAAGCAAAAGCTTATTAGTTRTTGTACTTAATAATAAAAAAATGATTTCGACTCCAACTTTTCTAGCCTTCCATAGAGAGTATGGATTTAAATTATATTTTYTTAATCAATAAAAATGCAAAAATTGTCCCAGGTTCATTGAAATGATAAAATATTGCTAGTGACAAGTTATCTAGCAATTAATGTTTTCTTTCCTTACTCTTTCTTATTTATAACTTAATCTTTGATTCAATACAGAACATTTTGAGGGGTATTTGATTTAAGCTKATGGAAAAGGAAACAAGAAAATGCCTCTTGAATATCTATCATGAATTCTTAGTATAATTTTAGACAAATACATATTGCTCAAGTGAAAAGTGAACAGCGTTATTGTTCACAATTATTCACCTCAGGCTCAGTGATAATGGTGAATATTTACCTCAACACTCGAAGACTCAYAGCTTGGTAAATATTCACTGCCAATCACTTCACCTTCAGTTAYGCATTAAATTTCAGAAAAGCTGTGACATATAATAGTATAAATATAAAAGGCATATAACAGAACATGCCAGATAAACWACCTGCAGAACATCCAAAATGTATAATTATTATTTATAAGCAACACAATTTAATAAAGTTAATAGGGCTTTGAGACTTGAAATACTCTGGTTATAATTAATGCATTGAATCTGTTAAAGCTTAGAGAACAAAACCATAAAGGAAGCAAATCTAGAAAAACAATTTACCTTTTTGGGGCTAGCCATCACATGCCATAAATGGTGTTGCATTATGTTTCGGTCACCAAGAAGTTCGGTCGACATCATTCTCAGATTTCCGTACGAATGTACTGACTTTTAAATAAATCATTCACTTMTGTTTTGTTTAGTTAGCTCACTAAATTAAAATACGACAAAATATCATTTTCTAACTTGATTGAAGCTTTTCTTACTGCTTTTTAGAGAGCTAACTTAAAAAATCGATCTGAATTTTCTTATTAAAGTCAGTGAATTTATATGTGAGTTTGATGGCTAACGCAGAAAAGGTGAATTGAGAAACTACTCCCAGACAGAATGCATTCTGCATAAAGAAGACAAAGGAAAAAAGTCCAGTACACTTGAATAATCTGAATTCTTGAACCACTGAATCTTTAACTAAATAGTTAAAATTAATATAGGGTTGATATGATAATTTATAGATTTCATTAATTAAAGGAAACAGAAAAAGCTGTTTCATTTGTTTTATTATATAGTTACTACCGTAAATCCTCTATTTAGCCCCCCGGGGGGCTTATTTATTTCAGGCATGTTTGAGGGAGGGCTTATTGGAGAGGGGGGGCTTAATTGAGAGGGGGGGCTTATTGATYTRGTCAAAACACAGTATGTAATATGATTGTAACTCAGGATTAAACGGAAGCATTACTATTGACTGTCTCGCATAATCTGTAGTGATGTACATGGCATTTTTATTATTTGATTCACCT